GCAACTTGGACTTCCCAATTCGTCATCACTGGCGACTTCGGACATTTTCTCTGTTTAGTGGATATGGATATGTACCACATCCCATGTACCAAGCCAAGCTGCAGGGCATTGGGATGTGATAGACTCATAGACTCGCAAGCATCGCCGGTAGATCAACCGGTTGGTCTCCTGGTGCTATGACCCATGTGACGAAGCCACGGATCGATGGAGTCGATCGTCGCAGGTCGCCCAATTGCCAAAGAGCGATGGAGGCAGACCTGTGACGCTGGATGGATGATGCTGGTCGTGTTGGCAAGTATATCCTTACCAATTATAGTATGTTCATAGTAGAGAACTCAATCCAATGATATCCCATGTACTTTAACTGCGGGTTGCTGGAATTCCCGATGGGGGTGCAGAGGTTCATCATAGAATTAGGGTTCCTCATTTGCAAACTTCTGGACTTCAGATGCCTCCACTATCCCGCTAGGCACCCTTGCGTGTGGGCGATAGCCACTTGCTTGCCTCAAGGGATTTTCTAGCACTCACAGGTCGCGGAATCATTCTTCAGAGGTCGCTCCGGTCACTATCACCACCGGTCACTACCAGAAAACCCTTTTTCTTCCTACAAGCATAGCTAAAGTTCATCACATGAAGAAAGAACAGTTTCTGAAGTAGATGATCGACCTTGTGGCATTCCAAACATATATGGCTACATTCCTCACCTTCCTCATCCTTCCTCCATTCTTCCTATTGATGTGCCATGTTTGTGTGGTTGTCCTGAAGCCAGACGTTTGGTCGGTTCTTCATGTTTTTCACTCATACCCATACGATAAGAGTGTTTGATCTCGCACCCTTCTTTCTGCCCTTGTTTTTTGTCAGCCAGGCGACCTTGACCCACACGAGGCAGAGAGGGGTGAACCCAACTCGAGACCCAGGATCGGAGACCTTGGGATGTGTTGGACAGCAACAATGCACCAACTGCAACGTTTAAGAAACATGAACGACCTGCCAGTCGAGGAGGACCCCATTTTGGCTGCAGCTCCCAGATTCGAACATCCTTGATCTCGGGTTTCATGGATATTGATATGTTTGTCCTACCTGGACCTTCAAAGTGACCTCTTTGGAGTCTCCAAGTGACCTCTTTCGGGACGATTCGTGACCTCATTCTAGGATCTCAAGTTAGGTCACTTTGAAGGTCCTGGTAGATTCCTAGAGTCCTGGAGCCTCCAGTGGCTCTTTTCGGTCAATGGTCACCATGGTCACCATGGGACCTGGTCCCCACACCACCGGTTTTGCGAATCAGGTGATGTTTTGGTTAACCCGCTGCGCAGATATAAGGGAGCCTGGAAATGAGAATACGCTACTATATGTGTGGCATCACAAGACAGAGCAGAGAGATATATCATATCAAATATCGTCCAGTGAGATGAGAAGATACGGCTATATGCCTATGCGAGGACCGACCATGAACTATACTGGTCCGATAGCCCTCTTGTGTCCAGGAGTTCGTTGCAGATTGTCAGATTGTAGACCCTAAAAAGATTGCACTGGGAATCCTTCAGAACAAGACCCCCCTACGATAGTAAGCCAGCGAGGTCGCCGACGGGGGTGTCTAACAAACGCCCCTGTCCAAAGAGGTGAGGACGCGGGGTGTCCAAGTACCCAACTACCCTGGGTCCTGATAGACATACTGTTCCCTAAGGATCCAGTCGTACCCTCTGAGATGGTGTTTGGGGTGGGTGCCAGGAGGGTCCAAGTACCTTTTGAGGATGTACTTGGATCCCTAGGGGTTACTAAAGCTGTTGGACCACCTGGGGGGCTATGAACCTTTATCTCTGACCGGCTGCGGGTTCGCGGCATACCGTACACAGCATAGCAGTGTAGCGCGTACACCCTAGGCTATGAACCTTTAGAAAGGCCTCAGTCCTGCATGGTCTCAAGCAGCTGACCGGCTGGAAAGCCCGCGATCGCCCGAATTCCCGCACTGCCAGGGTGAGGACGATCGCGCCAACAGGCGAGTGGCTGCTCGAGTGTGGAAGAGTGTGGTTGCTTTGGATTTGGAATGAGGACTGGACCTGGGCATGAAAACAGTGTTTTGCTGAGCTGTTGGGGCAAAAATTGATTGATTGCTCACATCCTTGCGACTTTTGGATCATAGACATTACTAGCTTGAGGGACGATCTAGCCGATCGTGAGCGTCTTGCAATTGCTGTTGAAGACTAATAGTTTTACGTCTGAAGATGCTCACACGGGCATGACAAATTCTTTGTGTTCTGGACTATAATATGCCAGGGGTCACAAAGGGGTGCCTATTGGAGGATAGGGGTAGGGTAGAAGTAAGTCTTCCTACCTGCAGTTGATGGACCACTCTTTGCTTGCATGGCCACAATGTCAAGGGGATGTTTGCCTACACAATGTCAACGTTCATGTTACCGATGTCGGGGGATGAGTCACAACCTGTAGCCCGACGGTCGTCCACCATGTGGCGTACGACTGTACGACCGACCAGGTCGGTCAACGATCTGGGTCTCCTGATGCCATGATCCACAGCCATTTGGGTGTACATGACGCTCCACCTAATAGCTTCTTGCTCCGTTCGTAGTAAGGCCAGGTTCGTAGCGTCCGATCGCTCCGTTCGTAGCGATGCCCTTTGTTGCTAGTAGCTTCTTGCTACTACACGAAGCTCCATTGGCAGTTGCTTCTGGCTCTTCCTCTGCACGAAGCCGCCTGTCAACTCCGAGTCCTTCTAGGGACGGCTGAAAGCAGAGGTGCGCCCACGCGGGAGAGCGCAGCGGGTTTTTGCCAGGTCCTGTTGCAAACAGCAAGATAGATTTCACAAGTGAACAGCCCCAGCTTGCGGATGTTATGTTTTTGATCTTCATTCTCAGGATGTTCACAATGATGGACCCTACACCTCCAAGTACCTCCTCAGAAGGTATTTGAACCCTCCAAACCCACCCCAAACACCTTCTCAGAAGGTACGTACTTGGAGGCCTAGGGGGACTAAATCTCAAAATTAATGAAATCATTTCTCGACATCTCATGCAAGAAAAGGAAACACTAACCACGGTAAGTATTGGAGCGTTCTTTGGCAAAAAAACGGTCCCCAGGAAAGTGTACGTACTTTATATGTAAAGGATCGCACTCCAGCAACACCCTCCAACAGGTCAACGTATGCCAGTTTTAAGTCTCCATTTCAGCCGGTTGAGACCTATATCCCTAGGGCTCCAGTCGTACCTTCTAAGAATAAGGTGGGACTGGGGTGGGTTTAGAGGGTCCAGTCATACCATCTGAGCAGGTACTTGGAGCACTAGGGTATATAGTGGAAACTCTAGTTCTTAGTCTATTCGTGCACTCGTTAAGCTTCTCAAATTAGCTTCGTAGGGATGGTTTTCTCGCTGCCTGCGGCAGAGAGGAGACCATCACCCTCACTGCAACTGCCTCACCTGATCGGTCCATATACCAGACATGAAGTGTCTGTCGACAGCTGGGGATGCCTATGCATTCCAGCAGTTTCAATGGTTTTGGGTCCAACACAAAGAGTGAATGTGACAGGGGCCAGTTCGGCACCCAACGCTATATATATGGAATGGTTCACTAACACTGGTTTAAAGACACTTAGGAATCGACGCGATGAGATCTCCCAGGTCTTTCCATCTTTGGCACCAAACGCGCCAGGTTGGTCGCCAGGGAGTTGCTCTGAGGGACAAAAGAAGTGCCGCAGAGTTGGCTGATTCTGCAGGGAGTTGGGTGATGAAGCAGTGATGTGCATCAAAATGACCAGAATGAATGGCAGGTGATTGGAAGATCTTCCATTCTGTGACACGGGCCTTATTTCAGGGCGACTGTTGAATGAGTGTGCTTAATAGAAGATGATAGGAAGGCACCCCAGCCAGATCATAGATGGCCTTAAGGCAGTGGCCTGTATTATTAGTTGGTTGATGAATGGAGAGGATGCCGCCCCAAAGGGATCGTTCTACCACCCAAGTTCGGTCTTTGGTCCTAAGGCTCGACCCCTGGGATTACTCCAACGCTCCCGGGTCGAACTCACTCACTCACGTGGACCCCAGGTCGAACGGCAGGAGCTGCACCGAGTGATTCAACCAGGGTTCATGAGATCGTTTGACCCGCCTGGTATCTCGCAGTGATGCGCATTGATGGACAACCAGACCCAGACCAAATCACCCCAGAGAGGACCAAATCAACCCGGTTTTCATGGCTCAGACCCGACAGAGCGCCTGCTTCGATGATCGATGGTTGGTTGGTGATGATATCTACTGGTTGGTTGCAGGAAGTGTGCCAAGATATGCTATAGACATATAGATAAACATTACAATTTCAAGTTTAGTTGATCAGAGATTTGGGTACTGTGCTGGGCAGTGGATTGTGAGCTTTGGCACGACGGATCATAGTTGGTGGGTAAAGACAGGGAATCATGACAGTGTTGCTAGCTGGAACACACAGTTTGAGCAAGTAAATCCGGATTTGGATCCATTTGGCCAGGCTATTGATGATTGTCCACCCACACCTCCCTCTTCCCCCGGTGGCTAAAGGGAGTCCCACCCTTCTGCGTCATGCACTTAGCCTTGGCAAAGCAAATCATTGTGTTTGTTCGCGCATTTCTGCAGGGTGTTTGTCAGAATATTGGGAGCAGCCTCCAAAGACTGATCATTTTGAGAATCCTGCCAATTTCTGGATGTTTCTAAAGCCGAAGGCTGCGCAACAAAGACACATGAAGATATATATATATATATATATTTGGACGTTTAGACTCCCCAGTTCCGACTGAATGATTGAATTTTGTCAACCAACAACTGCCATCAAACGGTTGTTTCCAAGTATTTTGTTCCAGACACGACCTGTTTGGGACTAGAAGTTGACCTCCATGGACCCCTGAAACATCCTGAAAGTACACCAAGGTAGGTAAATAATCGATACATGGAGTGTTTCGAAACATTCTGAAGTCCTGGCTGATTCTAAGTCACCGGCCGGCCAATTTTTGAAGCTCAATTTGCCAGCACCTGGGTCGGCGAAACCTCAGCGTGCACGGGAAGAGCTACGATGTTCCGGGCTCAGCGTCGGGTCATGGCGCCGGAGGACTGACCGTTTTTTTTTCACCGAAAAGGAATCGAGCGGCCTACCAGGCGAGACACCTTATAGAGGGTAGTTCCCTAGGCATCCAAGTACCTTCTCAGGTACGGTGATTGGAGATACTGTTATGTAGGTGCCAGGGTCGGGTCCAGTCGTACCGAACCTGAGAAGGTGATTGGATCCCTAGGAGTTTAGGGGCTCCAGGTGCGACCATTCTCAGGATCTGAACAGGGCTGTGGACCGCCTTCAAGGCATACTGCATCTCCACTCCTCGACAGATTCATGGTGATGTGGAGAACGCATGGATGACCATGACATCCGAATACCAAACAGGTGGTGCCATCTACTCAGATCCCTGCAATAGATTACAATATAGTAAAAACTGATGGCCGTAGCCTTGCTTTTACCGAAAGAAAAGGTGATTCGTCATGCTTTAATACTCAAAGATGATGCGTCCTCCACGGCTCATCATGACCAATCCTTCTGGTGGACCAAATCTCCTTCTGGGAGCATCCTTAACTTTTCGATTTCCACAGCTCTGGGCATCTGTTGACGGATCAAGCAACGGACGGGCGGATGGACGGATGGACGGATGGATGGGCAGATGGATAGATGGATGGATGGATGGATGGATGGATGGATGGAAAGTGCAAAAATGAGGTACTTGGACCTGGTTTTCCCTTTCTGGTGAACCTTATTTTTACTTTTCCAGGTTCGTTAAGCAATTCCAAGTGGACACTAACCTTTGAGCTCCAATTGCAAGCACTTTCAAGCTCCTTCGAGCCTCGAACACCCGTCGAGTACACCTGGTGTTGCTCAGGTTGAAGAACCACATGTATTGCGTCAATCCCTTGGAAACCACCTTAGATCCCTATAGGCCTCCAAGTACCTTCTGAGGAGGTACGACTGGAGGTGTAGGGGAAGTTTTTTCCCAGTTGATGACCCTCAAATCCAAGGCTGCGGGCCTTGGAAATCATCCCCGCAGCCCATCTCACCACTGCAGCCCACCGGTGGTGAGGTGCCGGGCTACGCGGTCTTCGCCAACACCTGGCTGTCCAACCACGCAGGGGAAGCCTGGGATCTTCACCGTTTCGTCCGTGCGTTTCGGTTAGTTCCCACCGGTTCATCCGGCGAACGTGCAGTGTGACCTGCAGGGTCCTCTGGAACGATGCACCCGTTCACTGTTTCGGATCATCGAGGCGTAGGCCAGCGGTGTGGCCTTGAGGGGTGTTGTTTGGATGTGTTTAGGTTTGGGAGTGTCCTAACACGTCCCAACATGTTGAGTTTAAACCGAAGATACCTCCATCTATACATCTATCTATCTAATCTAATCTAATCTAATCTAAATCTAATCTAAATCTAAATCTAAATCTAATCTAATCTAATCTAATCTAATCTATCTATCTATCTATCTATCTATGAACAAGAGCGAAAGCGGGGCCTGTCAGCCCCGCCCCGCCGGGGTAGATCGGGCCAAGCTGGGGCAAACACAGCAGCCTTGACTGGGGGTAAATCCAGTGGCAAAACCCTAGGGTTGCGACAATTAGGGACTTGCCAAATCAGTGATAATGGCACTCTAGTTCTCCGCGGAGAGCAGTGAGCTATTGTTTGAGGAAATGCATCAGTGGAAATACACGTGCAAAGGAAGTCTGTGGTGTGACTGTGGTGCAATTCGATGCGACAGTTGTTTCAATAATTAGCCTGACTGGACAGGCTGGGACGACTCCTGAAAACATGCATGTTTCAAACCAAATCAGTCCTTGATCTTCATGAGCGTACAAGCCTTAATAGAAGATTGGGTACGTGGCTGTCGGCGTTAAGTTCTGACTGAGCTTTGGGTAAGGGAGTGCAGTTGCCGTGCATCGCTCCTGTTCCTAGAAGCGAGGATTTTAATTACGAGGATGACGCGAGTCACACAATTGCAGGCTGCGGCCACAAAGGCACTCGAAGAAGTGCAGAAGTCCAAGGAGAATGTGGCGAGTGCAGAAGCCGTGCGAAAGATGCAAAACGTCAACTCGAGGAGTATGTAGCACAGACTTGTGCAAAGTCAAAAACTATGTCAAGTATACCTTCGAGGAGGTCATTGGCTTCTATGTTAAAGAAAAGGATAGAGTTGACAAGAAGATTGCACAATATGCAATTGACATGCCAGATAGGAGAGGCAACAGGAAAGGTGTCCCATTACCACCAGAATGTAGAAGAAGTGGTATGGCCGAGCCAAAAGTGGCGTTGTTTGTACCTGGTGGAGACAGGTTGGCGCTTAAACAAGCGCATAGATCAACGGTGCCAACGGCTTGTGCTTATGACGAAATGATGGTCACATACTTGCTAGAACTGGAAAGCCTAATCCACCCATGTCCGGCTCCTCTATAGTGGACATAGAACATGGAGATTTGTTCGGATTTGCAGAAGCCTCTGACCGCCCGAGCCTGGCCACTAGCGGCCTGTCGTCCTCTTGGGGGACGAAGCAATATAGATTTTCTTCTAATGCGGAAGCCCCAGTCAGACAGAATCTCACATGATGCTAAATGTTTGACACAATTTCCTGTCTCTGCACACAGGGATTATCCAGATCATCGACCATTGGTTGGGACAATTCCTGATGGAAGGTGTGGCTTCACCGAGACAAGAAAGCACCCTCCCGCTTTTCTAGCTGCAATGCCCGATGTTTGATACAGGACAAAAAACGAGCAGCATGAGAACTGGCTGGGTGCTCTTGCACAATCAAACAAGATGATTTGTCAGGCTGGACACACTGAATATTCTCATTTACTGGACCAACTTGACCAAGTCACACGTTCATGGTATGCTCAACAACCAGTTCAGAAGATTCCCATCTGGTTGGAGGAACGTAAACACTCCTTGGTGGACACCAAATGGCGTCACCTACAGGAGGCCAGACATCCACCACACTCTTTTTTCTCTGACGCGAAAGATTGTTTACAGCTGGCTTCATCTCCCCAAACACAAACAACTTCATGTTCAGCTGAAACAACACAGCAAACAGAGACGGAAAGATAAAGTTCGAGGTCACGGATAAGGCATGTCGTGCTGCACACTGCTATGGCTCCAGGGGACTGTACGAGGCCATCCATGCACTTACACCGAAACAAGTTCGGCGACCTGTGCGTTTCCGTGATGTTCAGGGCTCCCTGCTGACACCTGAAGAAGAGCTGAAGATCCTGACCGATCACTTCCAAGAGATCTTCCAGGCAGATCATCCTACAACACCACTTCTTGATACACCACCCTTGATCTTGCCGGTTGATGAGATTGAGTACCAACTGTGTGCAATCAAGAAGACAAAGGCCATTGCGCCAAACACAATTCCAGCCTATTTGTCAAAGCGCTGTCAGGCTCCTTGGCCGCCTGGCTCCATCAGTTTCTGGTTCAGATCTGGACGATGAAGCCTCAGATACCACAGGAATGGAAGGATGCCAAACTCACGCTCCTGCCCAAGAGACAAGTCAAACAACCCACTGATCTACGACCTATAGCACTCACAGATCCGGTGGGCAAAGCAATTCTGTGTGGGTACACCTTGCGGGCCAAGGCTGCCATGCTGCCCACCTTGGTGACTCTGCCCCTCTTGGCGTACTTGCCCCACAGAAGCGTGGCAGAGGCACTGGTTACGATCTTCACCTTCTGTCCTGACATTCGTACTACATGTGCAATGCAGGCTTCCAGCCCGTGGAAACCGAGAACCACAAACAGGCCTATTTTGCAGGGTGGAATGATTCTATCACTGGATCTCAAACAAGCCTTTGATAGATTGCCCAGAGATGAACTTCAATCTGGTCTCAAATACTGTCAATGTCCTGATGCCATTGCCACCGTCCTTCTCCAGTGGCTGGTCAATGCCAGGTACGAGATTCATCATCGTGGAGGACGAAAATGGATTCCCACAACACGAGGCGTCAGACAAGGCTGCAAAGCCTCACCTATTGAATGGACTGCATTCTTGGTCAAATTGTTGATTCGACTTGGACAGAATGTTGTGACAGGTACGACCTTGACACCTGAAGATTGGCTCCGACGGCATTTGATAGCTTATGCAGATGACCTGCTCTTTTGCTGGGAAATCAATTGCATTCAGGATCTGATTGACATTTTGCAACATGTGGCCACCATCATGGATACTCTGGAGACCCATGGCCTCAAGATCAGCATGGATAAAACTGTGATTCTACTTCGTGTTGTCGGTACTGCAGCTCGTTCCCAGTTGAAGAAGTTGCTGGTGCATCGCAATGGCTCCAGATGGATTGCCATCTACAGACAGAACAGCACTTCATGGCTCCGCGTTGTGGATTCACATGTTTATTTGGGCGTTTGTGTATCTTTTGGTGCTCTTGAGAAACAAACCTTGAAACATCGTCTTTCCATCGGCAGAGCCGCGTACAGACGCTTACAACGATGGTTTGTGGGCAGACATCAATTGACTAGTGCACAACTAGCCCGAATTTGGGCCACCAGCATTCGGACTTCCTACAGCCATGGCCTTGCATTTGTTGGGTTGACCCAGGAGGGACTTACAAACATTTGCAACCGCATGAAGGCTGATGTTCGATCTCTGGCCAGATCACCGAAACACGCGACACATGAGGAAACGAATCATGTCTGTCATCGAGTCCACTTAACTCCACCAGAGCAATTTCTCAAGCAGCAGTGGACTCACTACTATGACCAGTTCCTCAGCCTATGCACGAGTCTTGACCCCAGCGACTACCTGCACACAGTTCCGGCCATCACAAATCGAGCCAGAGTCATGAAGATCTTTGACCGCTCCAATACCACACAACATATGCCATCCACACAAGTTGAACCGTTTCCCTGTCCGTACTGTGAGCATGTGAGTCAGACACGTACACACCTCCATCAACATCTCTCCAAACGGCGCAAACGGCGCAAAGCAAAACCCACCTTTGAGAGATTTGTGTTACTTCGTGATTCAGAAGGTGGAATGCCGCAATGCCGGCACTGCGGATGCAGACTTGCAACATGGAGAGGCCTGAACCATCACATTGAACACAACAATTGCCCCATGTTCTCTGCCGAACGACCATGTCAGGCCGCTCATGTGGACTTGCCAGATCTGCGGGCCTATGCGGTCACACAATCCTGGCAGGCACTGCTTGAGAACGACGAACTGATGAACATTGTTCGCACTAGCTGCCTGCTTTGTAACAAAGCCTATCATATGGGAAAGGACCTACTTGCACATCTACAACGGATGCACTATGATGTTTGGAATGAATCGAAATTTCATTCATCCAGGGTCATTTCCTTCCTCCGCGGAACCAAACCCTGTGGTGCCTGCGGCCGTGATGTGAGTATGGAACACAATTGTCATGCAATCAGACAGATGGCCATCCTGCAGATGATGACAACAAAGAACAAGTTTTCACATGATGTTCTGACAGGTGCACCTCGGACCATTGACACTCGCCCTTTGGATCCTGATGGAGATGTACCGGATCAGGTCAAACGGCGTCGCACAGCCCAGACCACTGCACCAAAACATGACTTCCAACCAGGACGGGACAGTCTGGACGGTACACCAGTTTGTGCTCACTGTACCAAGTCCTTGGCCACGCATTTTAGCCTTCGTGTGCATATTGAATCTGACTGCAAGTCCTTCAATGAGCACAGACAATGGGGAGACCATGTACCTCTGAAATGGCTCAAGCTGAAGACCCTCTCCATTGCCCACCGCATTGATGATATTCTGATGGACACCCAATACCTCTCGACTTTGAAAGCATGCTGTGTGCTTTGTGGTAGGTCCTCCAGGAAACCAGGGGGCATCCAACAGCACCTGCAGCAGGATCACCAGCACTTGCTCCTCCAGGCCAAGCTCACTGAAGATACCTATGTGAACGAGGCTGCAGCTTCCGGTCGTTTATGCAAATGTGGCAATATGTCCAGCAAACGTGGACACCGATGTGTTATCTACACACAACTGGCCGTGTTGCACCACGCACGCTGCCTTCATGAAGAGATTCCAGCTCATGTTGCTGTCAAACCTCCGCTTCCACCACAGGACCCCGGAGCAGACACGGCTGTACTGGCACCAGCTGCCTATTGGGCTTCTCCTGACTGGCGTGCTTGGCTCAGCAATCATTGCAGCATCTGTGCAGAGAAAACTCCATTGGCAGCCATGCCGCTCATGGAGGTCGACGAGAACGAGATGAACGCGCAGATGGGAAAAGCCTTTGGGACCTACGAAAAGTGGTCTCAATGCCGACAGCACTCACCTTGAGACAGGAAGGACAACAACAAGCACTGGCCACGACCGACTCCTTCATCCTCTTCCTGCAGAACGCTCCAGGTGGAATGATGCCACATCTGATCAAGCGCACTGCAGAATGGAAGAAAGAAGTCGAAGAGAAGAAGGCCAGCACGGCCCTAAAACACACCCTGTTTCAGAATGTGATGCAGCAGCTGTTGGATCGGATACTTCGACTGGCACAGGCACCACAAGGGCACGAGATCCTCAAGGAACAGCACCAAGTCATCGACGACCAACGCCAATGGCCCTATCTTCAATGAAATCCGGCCACCAAGCAAATGAAACAGACGACCAAGAAGCCTTCTGTCCATGAAGCACATGCAGAAGATGGCAGAGGAGCTGGTGGATTGCTTTTTGAAGAGACGAACTGATCCGCTTCAAATGTCTCAAACCGCAGGAACTGGAATTGACGACCTCCAGGATCAGTCCATGGCTCATCCAGCTCTCGCTCCGGCAGAACCGCTTGCACGAGCTACTGCATCTCTTGACCGGGAGCTCGGTCTGGCTGCTGATTCAAGGACGCCTCAGGCCTCACCAGATCAAGGACAATCAGCTTGTTGTGGCACTGAGCAAGGCATCATCCACGTTCTCCAAGCCACGACGCTGATGGGCTGGCTGAGGTGCCAACCAGCAGGATGTTCACGAATTCCTGCAGGTCTTTCTTTTGAGATTGAGACCGCCAGGCATGAACCTGCACTGGCAAAGGACGTACACAGAGGGCAACATCGAAAAAGTTGCAGACACTGGCGCCATTTACACACCACCTACCATGTTTGCCATTGAAGGAAAGGTGAACGTTGAACTTCAAGAATTAGTCACCAGCTGGAATGGATATATGGGTATGAACACCGCCTTTACCAGAAGTTCCAAAATCCAATGTCTGCGCCTTGATCGATATGCCTCCGGCTCAGGTGATGATCCAGGTGCTGCCATCCAACTCGACTGGAACTTGAACATCCCAGAGACTGTGCTGCTGCCCATCAAGTCACCGCAGGAACCTGAGCAGATCTTTATGGAATACAGAGTTGTAGGTGGCATCATCCACAGAGGCAGAGACAACGAAGGCCATGTCCAAGCAGTCTGTAGGAACTTG